CATTTATTATGCCCAAAAGAAATATTTCTGGTTTGAAATCCATTTGTATCTCAGTTATCTCCTGTAGAATCGTGTCTGATTCTAAGGGGCGGGGATAATCTCTGTTTCTTAGCCGAGGGAGCTAGCATTGTCTGAAGACATCTTCTGTGGTCATATGGCCAGCATGGCTATACGTCAAAGGTGCATGCTGTTACCATCCCACCGAAGTGGTACCTATTTATCTACTCGCATTTGCATCCTTTCAAACTGCTAGCTAGGTGGGCAGGAGCTGAGGCAAGGAACGGGAGCTCACCTCATCGCACAGTGCTCAGGTAACAAATCCAGGCTATCAAGCTTTCCAGCTGACAAGCTTAGTGTCTTTAACCACTGAGCCATCACGCCCCCATTAATGCCCCACAAGGGCAATAATTAGGCCTACTAATGCTGTTTTTCATTAAAACGACAAACAAGAATTTTATCTTCTCAGCAGAGCGGAGAGGCAATAACAACCTGCTTTTTTTTTATTGCTGATTCTTTGCAGAGGTTAACAGGCAGAGGAAAATATAAGCCTTCATTTTGTTTTATGGCAACATTAAGGGATCCCACCTCCTGGGAAACGGCTGTCAGCCACTCAGAAAGGAGAACAGGAAGTTTTAATTCCATTTTTGCACTTTAAGCAAAAGTTACCATGAGCGAAGCCGCCGTCAAGCAGCAAAGAGAAACTGCACAGTTTACCGTCATCGTAAAGTCTGGGTTTGACTTCTCACAGTCTTGGGGAGATTTTTCTCTTAGCCTTGGCACTCTTCAGATGTGGGACCTGGGACCCCCAAGATTCTAACCAATCTCTGAGGATGCCCAATTTGAGTAAGGGGACTTTATAGTAAAGATTTAGCAACCTCAACTAAAGTCCACGGATATTCCAACCCAGTGGTGGGATTCAGCCAGTTTGCACCAGTTCAGCAGAACCGGGAGCTAATTTTGTGTTGTCCAGGCCCAGAATGGACTTCCAGAAGCGGCATCCACACACAGAATCGGTTGTTCACATATATGAATCCCACCACTGTTCCTACCATCACAATCTGACTGAAATTAGATACCAAAAAAAAACCAAAACCCATATAGTAGAGAACGTTTAGTGCAAGAAACAGCATTTTAAATCTGTGTAAATGGATAAACAAACAAATATCCGATCTTTATGTCTTTAACCTTCCAGATATTCATAGCGTTCTGCCAATTTTACCTAGCTTTAAATTTGGAGTTGCGGAGGATAGCAACAATATCTGTGCTTCTAACTGCCAACAAATAGTTCTTGCAGACGGTTGTTTTCTGAAAAGCTGCCTGTGGGTTGTGCAAAGCAATTAAAATCACTGCCTTTTTCATCTACAGCCCAAGGCTATATTGGCAGGAGATTTTGAGAAGTTCCACACATCTGGAGAACACCGAGCTAAGACGGACTTCTGAAGCCCCCTTAGAAATCCCACATGGCATAATCCTCTCACTTCTATTGAAGATTATGGGCTGCCAACCAGCAGATTAGCAAATCTTATCCTGAAACACTCTTAAGAATACAATGGAATTGTACTGGGTCACCTCTGCAGAAGTTGGAAAGGTTATCCAGAAATTCTTACTTGCTCTTCCACCACAGACCACACGATGGGAGCAGCAACACACCAGTCGGCTTTGCTCTGTCTTCATTCCAGCACAGAAGAAAAATAACCAGTTCCAAGAATGTCCTAACCACTAGGGAGATCTGTCAGTAATACTAATAAGTCTTCTTCTAGTCTACTCTAAAGACTAGAAGATAATAAAGAATCATTCAGTAAATAAACACGGTTAAGATCTCTTCAAAGAATAATAATAATATGATGATGATGATCATGATCATGATGATCATGATGATGATCATGATCATGATCATGATGATCATGATGATCATGATCATGATGATCATGATGTTGGAAGGGACCTTGGAGGTCATCTAGTCCAACCCCCTGCTCAGGCAGGAAACCCTATACCATTTAGGACAAATGGCTGTCCAGTCTCTTCTTAAAAACTTCCAGTGTTGGAGCATTCACCACTTCTGGAGGCAGGTTGTTCCACTGGTTAATTGTTCTCACTGTCAGGAAGCTTCTCCTTAGTTCTAGGTTGCTTCTCTCCTTGGTTAGTTTCCACCCGTTGCTTCTTATCCTGCCTTCAGGTGCTTTGGAGAAGAGCTTGACTCCCTCTTCTTTGGGGCAGCCTCCTAGATATTGGAAGACTGCTATCATGTCCCCCCTCATCCTTCTCTTCATTAAACTAGACAGACCCAATTCCAGCAACTGTTCCTTATATGTTTTAGTCAGTGTGCTTCTTCAGTTTATCGAAGAAGCTTCTTGGATGAGAAGCGAAACATTTTCAAAGGAAAAAACAACAACAAGAAAGTCCACTTGCCTTTTGGAAAAAAAAAACATGTTTGGGTCAACATGGTGAGCCTTTGCCATCGAGAATCTAGCCAGACTAGAAAGACCCTTAGCAAAATAAAACCCCGGGACCCAGAAGGAATTAGCATTGGAAATAAATGACTGTCTCTTTCCAGGAGTCAGGCTTGCAAGGAGAATCCGTTAGAGAAGAAACAGAGCGTCTCCTTCTGAAATGTAGCCTGTCCGGCACGTTTGCAGACTTGGATGTGGCAGTGCCAAACATTTAGCCTAGCCAGCTGGAGGGAGAGACAAAAAGGGAGCCCTCCACTCTGCTCAAGGAGGATTCCAAGCCATCCTGACTCCACCCCAGTCCCTCTGCCTCTCCCGTCCCACTCTTTGTGGCATAAAAGAAAGATTTGACACTCAAGGGGAAGCAGCATGGGGCAACAGCTCCCAGAGGCGTCCCCAAAATTCTGCAAGAAAGATGTAAGTCCGCTACTTGGCTTTTTTTGGGGTGTGTGGGAGGGCAGGTCTTGGGGGATGTGCCCCCAAAGAGCCATGGTTTGGTGCCCCATACATTTCCTGAAAATGAGAACAATGAATTAGTGGGACAGCCTGCCTCCAGAAGTTGTGGGTGCTCCATCACTGGAGATTTTCAAGAAAAGACCGGACAGCCCTTTGCCTGCGATGGTATAGGGTCTCCTGCTTGAGGTTGGACTAGAAGACCTTCAAAGCCCCTCCTAGCCCTTTGATTCTATACTTCCATTGTGTGGTTTGTCTGAAACTAGCTTTTCCTGAAGATTTCTCTCCTCCTCTTTCTGTCTCTCAGGCTTACACTTCAAGTGTCAAGAAAGGGTTCTACAAAAGAGTCCAGATTTGGGCTGTGTTAACTTTCATTCTGCTCCTCTCCCTCACCTTGACCGTTCTGGGTGTCTCCTATTTTTGGAAACCTGCTCCTCCTAAAAAGGTACGTCCTATTCTCAGGATTATATGGAAGAGATATTTTAAAGGGGTGGGGGGGAGAAGTGGATATTTCTATCCCACACTTTAAAAAAGACGTAGAGAAACTTGTCAACGTTTTATGCTGTGCTGCCCGTTTCTTTTGGCAGTGGGATCTTAGCTGTGGAAAGGCAGATATTTCTTTCCTAGCACAGTTTAATTGTGAGAAGTTCCTTTCCATTTTGTTTCAATTAACTCGCCAGGAACTGGAGGAGAAGCCCTCTCCATCAAGGCATTAAAGAAGTCACTTGCTTGGGAAAGTGACTGATCTCTAGCCAATTAAAATTGGACTTTCACGAGTTTGCAGCTGAAAGGGCTGAGAAGTTGCTATATTTATTCAGTCGTTTTATGGAATAATTATGAGAATTACTTTCTGCCAATACTACCCCCCAAATATATATACAGTATATATAAAGCACAGCAATCATGTTTGTGCAGAACAATAAACCAAAGTCTCATTTTGTTTCTCACCTCAAAACGGCATTGGGGATATGGTGGTTAAGGAACTGGGCTTGCTTAAAAAGACTTGGGTTCTAATCCACCCTGAGCCACAGAAATTCTCTGGGTGAATGGGAGAGAGTTATTCTCTGAGAATCTACCTCAGAGGGTAGTTTCTTGGGGGGAAATTGAACAATGAAATACTATATGCCAAACTCTAAATGTAGAAACGCCCAAATTTAGGCTGGAGTACAAAATCTGTAGAGCAAATAATTAGCCAGGAATGGTTTCCAGTTAGACCTGAATTCTGCATCAGATTTCCTTTTTAAATACGAGGTTCTTTTTGACATCAAATGTACCGTGGTCCCATAATTTAATTAGCCATTTTTCCACAGAAGGTCTTTCCAATATATATGTGCACACCACCCAAAATATTATAACCCTGCAGATTATTTCTGAAGTGATGCAGCTCTTTATAAAAACAAAAACCAAAAAGGTAAAACCAGTTTAATAGATTTGGGAGAGAAAGTTCTTTGGAAGCCCATTCTCAAGTCAGTTCTGCTCCTATCCATAAAGGCAGCAGAGAAATGTCCACCAGCCAAAAACTGGCTGGCTGGGCAGTCCTGCCTTCGCTGGCTTCTCAGTCCAAGGCCAGCATCTGTTTGCAATAAGCTGCTGCTGTACATGAGGTAGGTCTGCAAAAACCATTTGCATTCCAGACTCCTGCAACCCCAGTGACATTACTGGAGAAAAGAGACTGCCCTGGTAACTTGGTGTACCCATGTAGATGCCAGCAAATTAAAAGAAAAATAAAAAAAGATCTTAGGATATAGAAAAATTTACATGTGCCTAATCAATTGCCTGTTCCTTTTTTATTCAGTCACCAGTATATTATCAATCAATCAGTCAATAAGAATAGAGTTGGAAGGGATCTTGGAGGTCTTCTAGTCCAACCCCCTGCTCAAGCAGGAGACCCCATACCATTTCAGAGAAGTAGCTGTCCAGTCTTTTCTTAAAAACCTCCAGTGATGAAGCACCCACTACCTCTGGAGGCAAGCTGTTCCACTGCTTGATTGTCCTCGCAGTTAGGAAGTTTCTGCTTAATTCCAGGTTGCTTCTCTCCTTGATTAGTTCCGATCCATTGTTTTTTGTCTCGCCTTCCGGTGCTTTGGAAAATGCACCCTCAGTATAATATTCAGTTATTATTATGCTGATTATTAGTCATACAGCTGGCCTTCAACTTATGCCTGGGACCAGAATTTGTGTTGCTAAGCAAGGTGGTTAAGTGAGTCACATGGTTTCACAAGCTTTTTGCCATAGTCATTAAGCGAATAACTGCAGCTGTTGAGTGGATCATGGTCCTTAAGCAAATATAGCTCTCCCTGTTGACTTTGCTCGTGGGAAATCCTTGGAAAACTCCCAAATGGCAATCGCATGACCTCCGGATGCTGCGAACATTGTAAACGAATGCCAGTGGCCAAGCATTCCAAAACACGTGACTGGGGGATGCTGTGAGGGTCAAGCACAAGGACTAGTTACAAGTCCCTTTTTTTAAGTACCATTGTAACTTTCAATGGTCACTAAATGAATGACTGTATATTGAGGACTGCCTGTATATTCAGTAACGGTCATCACTTTGGGTATATCTAGTCTAATGAAAAGAAGGACTAGGGGTGACATGATAGCAGGGTTCCAATATCTCAGGGGTTGTCCCAAAGAAGAGGGAGTCAAGCTATTCTCCAAAGCACCTGAAGGCAGGACAAGAAGCAACGGATGGAAACTAATCAAGGAGAGAAGCAACCTAGAACTAAGGAGAAACTTCCTGACAGTTAGAACAATTAACCAGTGGAACAACCTGCCTCCAGAAGTGGTGAATGCTCCAACACTGGAAGTTTTAAAGAAGAAACTGGACAGCCATTTGTCCGAAATGATATAGGGTTTCCTGCCTGAGCAGGGGGTTGGACTAGATGACATCCAAGTTTCCTTCCAACTTTATTATTATTACTATTATTATTACTAGTAGTAGTAGTAGTAGTAGTAGTAGTAGTAATAATAATAATAATAAATAATAATAATAAATAATAAATAATAAATAATAAATAAATAAATAAATAAATAAATAAATAAATAAATAAATTAATAATAATAATAATAATAATAATAATAATAATAATAATAATAATAATAATAATAATAATAATAATAATAATAATAATAATAATAATAATAATAAAAAAAAAAATGTGGGATTTTTGGCTCTCCAGATATTGTTGAACCTTAACTCCAATCACCAGCCAGGATAATGGGAGTTGTGGTGCAACTTCTAGCAGGCCAGCTCCTGTCCCCTGCTTTAACTCATCCCAGTGGAACAAACAGTCACATCTCAGCATCAGGAAGCTACTGTTTGCCCAGCCATCTGTAGCACTTTCCAGAAAAAACAAATTGCATGAAAGTCTGGTTTCAAATATCGTTTAAGCAAACAGCAAAAAAAAAAAAAAAAAAAGGACAGCCGAACTATTTGAAAGTAAAATCACTTTCATCCTTGTCCCAAAAAGTAAATATGGAGGGAAGGAGAAGAACTTCATACTTTCAAACTGGAGAATGGTGGACTTTGGCCAAAATGCTGAAGTGAAGGGCAGGAAGAAGATATCCACCATTAACCCAACAGATCAGTGTTTCATTCAGGCTTCTTCCATTTACGTTAATTCCCCTGTGACATCTGTAGGGTCATAAGCATCCGTGGTTTGCACAAGGAAGTACCAAATCCCGTCGCTCCAACATACAGACTTGGTTCACAAGTCACCGGAAAATGCTCTATTACATTCTCAGTCACAATTCATTGACTAAACCAAATTGGGCTGGGTTTGCACAATACAGGTAATCCTCAATTACAACAGTCCATTTAGTGACCGTTCAAAGCTACAACAGCACTGGGACTACTTTTCACACTTACAACCGTCGCAGCTTCCCCCTGATCATGTGCTCAAAATTCAGACACTTGGTAACTTGGCTCATATTTATGACTGCTGTGTCCCGGGGTCATGTCATCCCCTTTTGTGACCTTCTGACAAGCAAAGTCAATGGGGAAACCAGATTCACTTAACAACCCTTTTCCTGACTTAACAACTGCAGTGATTCACTTAACAACTCTGGCAGGAAAGATCATGAAACGGAGCAAAATTCACATTGACAACTATCTTGATTAGCAGTGGAGGTTTTGGGCTCAAATGTGATCATAAGTCAAGGACCACCTATACCAGGGGTAGACAACCTTGGCTCCTTTATGACTCGTGGAGTTCAACTCCCAGAATTCCTGGGCCAGCCATGCTGAGAGGAAAGGGAGAGGTTTCCAAGCTGAGTCATGCTGGCTCAGGAATTCTGGGAGTTGAAGTCCACCAGTCATAAGAGAGCCAAGGTTGCCTACCCCTGACCTAGACCCTATGTCATAAAGTTATTAAGAAAAGAGAGTGGCTTGCTTCACGTAGCTAGCAAAGCCAGAATCAGAAGTGTTTGGGATTAGCCTGTTGTATGAACCAGTCTCTGATGAAGTTGCAGACACATGCTGATTCCCAGTATCTGGTTTGCTGCTCTTACCTGCCGGAGTAAGAATAAGAGAAACGAGATCAAAGAACTTCATCCAAGAGAGAATAGAAGAAGAAGTCCAGGAATCAAACTCACATGAAGCATTACTACCGATTTATAAAACCTTAGTAAGGCCACACCTGGAATACTGCATCCAGTTTCAGTCACCACATTACAAAAAAGATGTTGAGACTTTGGAAAAAGTGCAAAGAGGAGCAACTAAGATGATTAAGGGCTTGGAGACAAAAACATATGAAGAACGGCTGCTGGATTTGGGAATGGCCAGTCTAGAGGAGAGAAGGAGTAGGGATGACATAATAGCAGTATTCCGGTACTTGAGGGGCTGTCACAAAGAAAAGGGGGTCAGCTTATTTTCCAAAGCACCAGAGGGCAGGACAAGAAACAATGGATGGAAACTAATCAAGGAGAGAAGCAACCTAGAACTAAGGAGAAACTTCCTACAATGGGGACAATAAACCAGTGGAACAGCTTGCCTCCAGAAATCATGGGTACTCCATCACTGGAGGCTTTTAGGAAAAGACTGGACAGCCAACTGTTTGAAATGGTATAGGGTCTTCTGCTTGAGCAGGAGGTTGGCCTAGAAGATCTCCAAGGTCTCTTCCAGCTCTATTCTGATTGATAGGAAGAGTCTACAGCAAGGGTGTCCAACCTTTCCCAGGACACGGGCAGCAGGTGTCCTTTGAATGACATGTTACAGTCTTCAGACAGGCAAGCAGAGCTAGGAATAACATTGCACCCAGGATAATAAATCCATTTTCATTTTAATTTCTAATTAATTAGCATTGAATTAAGCTAATTAAATTTCATTAATATGACAACTCCCTATGCATTTTATCATCTTCTCTTTCTGATGCATTAAACATTGCAATTTGGGGGAGATATTTTTAGAGGTGCCCGGGGACTGGAGCGGTGTGATCAGGCCATAAACAAAAAATTCCTGCTGCTCAGGATAACTGCAAAACAATGCCATGAATATTTCAATTTTATTGCCTCAGAACCAAATAGGGTTTGTACAAAAACTGTTCTTCTTGCAGCTTATATACAGTATCTCCTCTCTCTCTCTCTCAGAGCTTGGTCACAATTCTGCTTTAGCAGGACCCAAAAGAAAAAGAATGAAATCAAGTTAGCCATAAAAGTAACCCCCCCCCCCAAAAAAAAAGAAAGTTCCTTGCATACAAAGTTTGAATTTCAAGATCTTTTTCCAGTCTGTCTTCCGTTGCCACTAAGTCTGGTTTAAAGCACAATTCTGTCCACAGGGATTATCTGATGAGGCAACCTAACTGCTTTTCCCCCCCAAGAATCTACCTTCAACTTTCCATATTGTAAAACCTATTGGTTTGAACTTTGAAGAATTCACTAACGGTATGAAGGGAACAAAGTCTGCAGTTCTGATGAAAAGGATGCCAGTTTGAATCTAGCATAGAATATTTTCTAGGGTAGAAATATTCTACCCTAGAAAATATTCTACGGTGGAAATATTTTCCTCTTTCTTTGTAGCCTGCTGAGTTCAAAATGACTTTCTTAGGGGGGGTCCCCCCCCTGAAAATGTTTCACATCTCATCCAAGAAGCTTCTTCAAATAATAATAATAATAATAATAATAATAATAATAATAATAATAATAATAATAATAATAATAGTAGTAGTAGTAGTAGTAGTAGTAGTAGTAGTAGTAGTAGTAGTAGTAGTAGTAGTAGTAAAGTTGGAAGGGACCTTGGAGGTCATCTAGTCCAACCCCCTGCTCAGGCAGGAAACCCTATACCATTTCGGACAAATG